GACGCGGCCCCCGGGCACCACCCGGGCAGGCCCGCAGCGAAAGCCCGGTCTCCTCTTCCGCTGGTTCATTTTCCACAGGAACCAGTCAAACTGGTTTCAGAAGCCTGAACTAGTTCGGTCTGTTACTAGCATGAACTGAAACGGAACCAGAACGACTCCATCCACTACTGAGTTTGCGCCAAAACATGTACTGGTTGAAATAACTGCATAGATGCTGTGGTTATCTGGTTGTGTCTCAGTATGCACTCTTTACATCCAATTTAAATTGCATCTGTTCAGTTAAACCTTCACAGACAGGATCTCTGCTCCACTGACTAGCAGTGTGCTAGAACAGACCAGCTAGCTTACGGACTGCAAATACCTAAGTAATGGCGTAATACATTGGAGGAAGGAGCATGGTACGTGGGCAGTATGTAACTGCCCTACACAGAGCTTTAGTAACATTTGAAAGCTTTATCACACAAATTACATAAAGAGTCTCCATTTAAAATGGTGCATCTAGAACAATTATAATGAAAAAAGTTGTCACAATACAGACAACTCCCATTCGCTTATATCTAAAAAGTAAGCATGACATGTAGCAAAAATGTAGTGGGCATCACGTCTCTACTCACCTACACCCGTGAGGCTCTTTTCCCCTGAAGTTTCTAAGCTGTCCTCGGCTGTGCCTGGCACTGCCCAGCCTGGCCGTCCAACTGCAGCGTTTCGGGTCCAGGCAGCAGGCATCTGCCTCGCCCCATCTCGCCTCAGGATGCAGCAGCGGCTCCAGCCTATGCTGAGGTCACCTAGTCCTCAGCAATCTGAGCAGAATTATCACAGAAAGATCAAACCAAAAAATTGGGTGTCAGAAGCTATGTGAGTTCCTATCAGGTTCACCTCAGTTCATGCAATGACGTTAAAGTCTTTCGCTTACAGTATTGCAAGAAAGCATCTAAATATGAAAGCCTGATTCCCCATCTTAATCTTTTTATTAAGAATATTTCTCTCTTGTTTAGAGCACTATGTTCATCTTAAACATTCATCTTATTATTCTACATTCATCTACTAAATATATCGGTAGGCTGTTTTTTTGATGCCTT